TCCGCATGCCACCTCTAGTGGCAGCTGGGTCAACATTAGCCTACCCCAGTTTGGGCGCACAGAGCTATGCACGCATTAGAGGCTTGTGCTTTACAATACAGAGGTCTGTAGGATTTGTTCCCTACAGCCAGCCACCCACCCAGCTGCAATGCATTAAAGCTTTTGTCTACATATGAAAGTTAATCCAGAATAAAGCCGGTTGTGAATTTCACGGGGATTAGCGATTCCTGATGAATCCACTTCTAAAAACAGAGCTAAACTAATTCACAATACAGGCACCCACTTGTGCTTTACAATACAGAGGTCTGTAGGATTTGTTCCCTACAGCCAGCCACCCACCCAGCTGCAATGCATTAAAGCTTTTGTCTACATATGAAAGTTAATCCAGAATAAAGCCGGTTGTGAATTTCACGGGGATTAGCGATTCCTGATGAATCCACTTCTAAAAACAGAGCTAAACTAATTCACAATACAGGCACCCACTCAGAAACAGGAGCATCTCCGTGTCTGGAGTCACTCTGGATCAGATATTCCTTGAATCCAGGGGATCCGGAACCCAGGGCAGGGTGTCTGGACTCCTAAGGCCCAATCCCGCAGCCCAGCAAGCTGTTGGCCAGAAGGGCATTGCTCAGCTTTGGATCAGCGGCACAAGGCCCTCTCCCCTAGTAGGGGTCGTTATAACCCAGCTGCACCCCTCCCGGTCTGATCGCTGCAAGCTTCCTCCCCTCTCCAGCCTCTCACCAGCGCTTTCTGCTCCCGGTCTGCACTCAGCTGATCCAGGTACCAGGCTGCATTCTCCTGCTGCACACTGCGCAGGGCCAGGACAGGATCCTGCAGGGCCCGGCACAAGGCCAGGGGATCCTGCATCTCCAGAGCATCGTCCACATATTCCAGCGCTCCATGCACTAGGAGAGAGGCCAGTTTTTAAGCACTGCCGTGCAGTAGGGCAACAGCCACGCTCCGGGAGATGCAGCTGGAGAGTCCGTCACCCAGGCTGCTTGGCACCATGCAGCGCTGGAGGCGGTATCCATTTGGTGATGGAGAAATGGAAATCTGGCTCAGACAGAATGCATGGCTGGACTCCTTTTACCCTGCTGGCTGGCTTGAAATGTCAGGTCTTCTGTTTGCCAGGGGAGCCTGATTTGAAACGGCTGCTTGTTCCACGTAGCTTGTCCTCTTACGGCTCAGAGAAAAGCCTACTACTGCTGCCAGTTGAAGGAGCTGCTCTCTGCCTCCAACCCATGACCCACAAGCTTTGGTTTTCTAACACACCTTCAGTGACAGTTAAAAATCACTCTTATCAGTATAACTCAAAGCTCTTTGCCACGGGGCTCAGGGTCTCTTACAAATGGGAAAACTGAGGCACAGAAAGGGGAAGTCACTTGTCCAAGGTCCCCCAGCAGGGTGGCGACAGAGCAAAGAATCAAACTTGGGCCTAATATGTCCCAGTCTAGTGCACGAACCACTAGGCTACACCCTCTCAAAGTGGCGCTCTATTGACCTCTAGTGGTAGCTGGGTCAACATTAGCCTGCTCCAGTTTGGGCCAATAGAGCTACTCACATATTAGTCTTGTGCTTTACAATACAGTGGTCTCTAGGATTTGTTCCCTGCAGCCAGCCACCCACCCAGCTGCAATGCAAAGCTTTTGTCTACACATGAATGTTAATCCAGAGTAAAGCAGGCTGTAAATTTAAAGTGGATTAGCAATTCCTGATGAATCCACTTCCAAAAAACAGAGCTAAACTAATTCACAATACAGGCACAATACAGAAACAGGAGCATCCCCACTTCTGGAGTCACTCTGGATCAGCTATTCCTTGTGTAAACAAGGGGTTTGCCTAGGTTACCTGTTTCAGGGATTCTTTTTGTGCCAGGGAAGAGTCAGCACTGGAGCCACGTGGAGAAACTCAGGCCTCTCTCCTTTGCCCCAAAAGAGGGAGGGAAGAGATTCCCTCCCCATTGCTCCTGACAAGGATGCTGAAAGCAACTAGAGCAGAGGCCAAATCCCCACTAAGGAACTCCACAGAGTTTCACAGGAGACAAAGCTTTTTGGGAGAATGAGCTAGCACCGGGGAGATGCCCCACACACAGCATATCCACCCCAGCAGCTTTCGGGGATGCGAGATGCAGCGGGAAGGCTGTTGCTTTGCTCACCGTTGACTTTGTTGATATTCCCTTGTATCTCGGCCTGCGTCAGACACCGGTCGTAAATATCCTCGCTTCCTGGGATCTCCTGGAGGTGCTGAGAAGAGAGAGAAGCCACCCGCAAGAGATGTAAAATCCCATTTAAAAATGTTAACTCTGTGTTACTCATTTACATCCCTGCCAGCCCTGCCCCCCCACTGCACAGCTTGGCCTAGATGCCTTCTGTTACCTCCGAGCAGGCCAGAAAGAGTTGCAGGACTCAGCCCCAACGGCCGCTGCAGCAGCCACAGCAGCACGGCCCTTTTCTCCAGCTGCACTTTCCTATCCATCTGCTCCACCCATGCTGCGTTCCTCCACTGGCCAGGGCAGCCAGCTTTGGGGCAGCTCTCCAGGAGGAGCTGGCCCCGTTCCTTTCCTTGCTGCAGAGAAATTCACCCCGTGGTTTCCCTCCATCCATTTCAAAGAGGATGCAGGCCTTGAACGCTACATGTCAGAGCACAAGGTGCATCCCCCAGATCAGAGAAATCTTAGACAATTAAGGTTGGGAGAGATCTCAGGAGGTCATCAAGACCAACCCCCTGCTCCAAGCAGGGCCAACCCAACTCAATCATCCAAGCTAGGGCTCTGTGAAGCCGCGACTTAAAAACGTCTAGGGATGGAGATTCCACCACCTCCCTACAGAATCCATCCCAGTGCTTCACCCCCCTCCTAGGGAAATGGATTTCCTCGTATCCAACCTGGACCTCCCCCACCGCAACTTGAGACCATTGTGCGGTCATCTGTCACCACGGAGAACAGCCTCTCTCCAGCCTCTTTGGACCACCCCCCCTTCTGGTAGTTGAAGGCTGCTATCAAATCCCCCTCACTCTTCTCTTCTGGAGATTAAATAAACCCAAATCCCTCACCCACTGCCCATAAGTCATGAGCTCCAGCTCCCTCATCCTTTTCATTGCCCTCTGCTGGACTCTCCAATGTGTCCACATCCTTTCTGTAATGGGGGGCCCAGTTCTCCAGATGTGGCCTCACCAGTGCCGAAGAGAGGGGAATAATCACTCTCCTAGACTTGTTGGCACTGCTCCTCCTAATGCAGCCCAATACGCCCTTAGCCTTCTCGGCAACAAGGGCACCTTGTCCACTGTGATCCCAGGGGCAGTCCCCATGAGGCACATTGCACCGTGACCCACATACAGGATAAGAACCTACTGCTCCTGGCAAATAAGGGAGCGTCTTCTTCCACTGAGGGTTCCTGGCATTCTTACCCGGTTCCTGGCATTCTTACCCGGTTCCTGGCATTAGCAGCTTTTTCCAGTTTGACCTGGTACAGCAGCTCTTGGTAGACAGCCGCCAGGTTCTCGCGCAAGTTGAGCAGCATGGCGCTGGGATTGCGCAGGGCCGCCATGGTCCGCTCCACCACCCCCCTCTCCACGGCTTCGTTGATCGCAAGGACGGCGGCGTGGACTAGAGCAGCCATGGAGACATAAAACCACGGGGAGGTCAGAGAGGGAGCAAGACGCTGAAGTGACAGGAGGCGGGTCTTTCCATTTAACTAGGGCCCGGATCTACAGAGCGACACACGATTGCAACCCCGAACTTTCTGGTAGGGATGTAAAATCCCATTTTCATTGGTTAACCCACATCCACCGAGGCTGGGCTGGAGCGGCTCCCCACATCACAGGCAGGGGCTGGTCCAGACCAGTGGGCCCAGGCCTACCTGGAGCAGCTCCCCACAGGGCATGCTGCAGACAGGGGCATGCCAGCCAGACCAGAGCAGCCCCTGTCCATGGCAGGACCCCTGCAGACCTGGAGAGCCCATGGACTGTGGGGAGCTGCTCCAGCCCCCATTGGTTAACAGTTAATCGGAGCTGGTAAGCATCACTCCTTAAGGGTGATGGTTAACGGGCTAACTGATTAACCTTTCAAATCCTTACTTTCCAGGGACTTGGGAAAAAAAGTCACCAGAATCCACAAACCCATGGTCATTCCTCAGCCAACTCAGGGGCAGAAATAGGCCCCTGAGCACAGGAGCCACAAAAGCCAGTGCGGTATGTAAGGAAGTGCTACGGTAGCCAATGCA